ATCTATGGTAAAGTTAACACAAAAAGTCCTAACACATGCACATCCATTTCCTACATAACAGACTTGCAATTGGGTCTTGGCATGGGGAAGCATTTCAAAGGTACACACAATACCTTCAGTATCTAAGCATAAATCTTCATTTTCTGCCACAGCATTTTCACAGATATATCCTAATTGTCCCCTAGGAGTACAAGCCTCAGTACTCACTGACTGCCACTTTTTCTTGGTGTGATCATAACTTGCCCAAACATTATGGTCAATGGGTCTGACAATTACGTTTTGGTGTATGGCTTCTAATGTCAAAATAGGAAAGATGGTTTTTTCTTTGGCTGCACTGATAGTGAGTACATAAGCTTCAATTTGTTCATGTTGTGGATTGTAGGTGAAGTTCACTAATTGCCACCACACCTGGTGATTTTTCTCAAATTGTGTAGTAGAACTGTTTCTGGCTATTATTTCTCTTATCACTTGGGACAGTATTCCTGAAGTTCCTTCTCATAGTATTCCTGCAGCTACAGATTGTACCTACTGCTGAGTCTGGATGCATTGTACAAAAAATATATTGCACACCACAATTGCATAGGCCTTTACAATTTTATACTACCATCTAATTACAATATTCAGTTTCTAATTACAATATTTGGGCATTACCTTATTGGTTACACCCATCCCCAAAACCGTCCCTCCCATCGTACTATCCTTGCCATGCCTCCTGAATTTGAATGAGTGGTCTCAAAACGACCACCCCTTCATCTTTGTCTTCCTGGTCTCCTCCATCCTCCCTGGAACAGCTTCAAGACCTCTGAGTAGTTTTGACTGGTTATATCAAGCGGTGTGACTCTGTTATGCCTCTTTCTCAGTACATTTCTACAGATAAGGTGCTTTTCACCTTGCTAAAATCTTTTGTCCTTTGAAATTCTTGACAAAGAATGTTAAACAGCATTTTAGAAATATTGTATGAAGGTACTTAGCAAGCTAAAAGTACTAATGAGCTATACTAAAACCTTACATAATATAGATTTTAAGGCATCAGTCCTATCACTCCACTTCCTGATGAAGAGTCCCTCTCCAGCTTTCCTGTAGGCCCCCTTCAGGTACTGGAGGGTTGCTATGAGGTCACACAACCTTCTCTTCTCCAGGCTGAACAGCCCCAACTTTCTCAGCTGTACGCAGTATTCCAGGTAGGGTCTCATGAGAGCAGAGCAGAGGGGGACAATCACCTCCCTTGACCTGCTGGCCACACTCCTTTGGATGCAGCCCAGAATTCCGTTGGCTTTCTGGGCTGCGAATGCACACTGCCGGCTCATGTTGAGTTTTTCATCAACTATCACCCCCAAGTCTTTCTCCACAGGGCTGCTCTCAATCACTTCTCCACCCAACCTATAGGTGTGTCTGGGATTGCCATGACTCAGGTCTAGGACCTTGCACCTCGCTTTGTTGAACTTCATGAAGTTTGCATCAGCCCACATCTCAAGTGTGTCAAGGTTCCTCTGGATGCCACCCCTTCCCTCCAGCATGTTGACTGCACCACACAGCTCAGTGCTGTCAGCAAACTTGCTGAGGGTGCACTCAATCCCACTGTCCATGTCGCTGACAAAGATGCTGAACAGTATCAGCCCCAGTACTGAACCCTAAAGGACACCACTCATCACTGGTCTCCATGTGGACAATAAGCTGTTGACCACAACGCTTTGCACACAGCCATCCAGCCAGTTCTTTATCCACTGAGTGGTCCATCCATCTGTAACATGCCAGATTTTAAGCCACAAGCTGCCCAGAGCAGTTACTTTTATTTAAGACTTTTAAAAAGCCTTTGGTTCGTTATCACCTTGAGTTCGCATCTGGAGAAAATGCAACTATGCTTTCTTTAAGAGAATTTCTTTTAATTTAGTGAGAAAAATAGACATTTTGGCAAAAGGTTTTACAGGAGTAAAATAACATAACCAAGAAAAGCATTTCACTAATACACCCGGCACAAAAACCTAATCCACAAAAGCACCCACTGTAAAGCAATCAATACATTAGCTTTAGTAAAACACAATTCATTGGTTTTAAGTTACCCACAAGAGAAAGAAAAGAGTAAAACAAGAAAAGAGAGATTAAAAGAGTAAAGAAAGAAGGAAGAAAGAGGGAGAGAGAGAGAAGGGAAAAATAGTTACCACCAAGATCTGATGGCTCACATGGTGGCAGCCAGAAGAGAAAGATCCACATGGAGCCTCATGCTCCCGCATTTATATAGTTTGGTCATGCCTCCCAGGCTGGACATGTGGATTATTGACCACTCAATGCCTTCCAAGCCAGAGCGAGGCATGCTGTAGACAATCAGAGGCTCCAGGGGGTGTGGTGTGGGCAGGCTACCAGTCAGGCCTTCCTTGACTGACAGCCCAGCCACATGGTTCTCTAGGCCATGTGCTCTCTGCCATGTTGACTGCAAGCCATGTGCTTGCTAGGTCTGCCATGTGCTTTCTGTGGATTTGGCCATGTTGACTGCAAGCCATGCAGGCTTCCAGTTCTGCCATGTGCTCTGTAGGCTGGTCTTATCATGTGCTTGCATGTCTAGCCTAGCCCTTCCCCCCCACACACACTCATATGGGCTCCGACCCATATGAATATATAATTTGGTGAGATTTGAAACAGTATCTCACACCATCAAATCCATGTCTCTCCAATTTGGAGACAAGTATGTCGTGTGGGACAGTGTCAAATGCTTTGCACAAGTCCAGGTAGACAATGTCAGTTGCTCTGCCCCATCCACCATTGCTGTAGCTCCGTCATAGAAGGCCACTAAATTTGTCAGGCATGATTCCCCCTTTGTAAAGCCATATTGACTGTTACCAATCACCTCTTTGTTTTCCATGTGCCTTAGCATAGTTTCCAGGAGAATGGACTCCATGATCTTGCCTGGCACAGATGTGAGACTGACTGGTCTGTAGTTCCCCAGGTCTTCCACTTTCCTCCTTTTAAAAATGAGGGTTCTATTTCCCTTTTTCCAGTCATAGGGACCTTCACCTGACTGCCACGATTTTTCGAAAATGATGGATACTGGCTTAACAACTTAGTCTGCCAGGTCCCTCAGGACCCTCAGATAAATCTCATCAGGTCCCATGGACTTGTGCACATTCAGATTCCTTAGATGGTCTCGAATCTGATCCTCTCCTACATTGGGTTCAGGGTCTTCATTCTCCCAGTCCCTGCATTTGCCTTTCTTGACTTGGGTGGCATGGCTGGAGCACTTGTCATTGAAGACTGAGGCATAGGAGTCATTGAGAACCTCAGCCTTCTCTTTGTTCAGTGTAGCCAGGTCTCCTGTTTCTGTCTGGAGAGGATCCACATTATCCCTAGTCTTTCTTTTGTTTGCAACATATCTATAGAAGGCCTTCCTGTTATCCTTGATATCCCTGGCCAGACTCAATTCTAACTTGGGCCTTGGCTTCCCTAACCTTGTCCCCAGCTTCCCATACAATTTCTTTGTATTCCTCCCAGGCCACCTGTCCTCATTTCCACCTCCTGCAAGCTTGTTTTTTTGCTCTGAGTTTGCTCAGCAGCTCCTTATCCATCCATGGAGACCTCCTGGCATTTTTGCCTAATTTCCTTCTTGTAGGGATGCATCGCTCCTGAGCTTGGAGGATGAGATCCTTGAATATCAGCCAGCATTCTTGGGCCCCTCTGCCTTCTAGTGCTCTATCCCATGGGACTCTACTGAGTAGGTCCTTGAAGAGGCCAAAGTCTGCTCTCCTGAAGTCCAGGGCAGTGAGCTTGCTGCATGCCCTCTTCACTGCCCTGAGGATCTCAAACTCCACCATCTCGTGGTTGCTGCAGCCAAGGCTGCCTTGGAGCCCTACATTCCCCACCAGCTCCTCCCTGTTGGTGAGCACAAGGTCCAGCATGGCACCTCTTCTTGTTGACTCCTCAATCACTTGTGTAAGGAAGTTGTCATTGGCACATTCAAGGAAACTCCGGGAATGCTTGTGCCCTGCTGTGTTGTCCCTTGAACATATATTGGGATATTTGAAATCCCCTGTCTTGGTTTAAAGACAAATATTGGGAGGCAGGAACTCCAATAAGATGAACTCCCCTCCCCTTTTATAGAGGGACAAAAAAAATCTGAGGAAGTTATAGTGGAAAAATAACAGTTTACTAAAAGGAAATAGCAGTAACTACAAAGATACAGAGGAAATGGTTTACCCACAAAGAAGGGAATCCACCACTCATATGGTCCCCTGGGAACAAAGGGGAAACAAAATGACAGAGGGCAAAAAAATACTTGCAGGACAAGGAAAATTGCAGCAAGAAATCCTTTATTGCAGCACTGGGTGCAATCCCAAGTCACATGCCTGGAAAAGCACATGTGGTTTGAAAAATGCGCTCTTTTTGTACCCTCTTGATCACTTAAGGTGTTAAATATTCAACAGGTAACAGGTATTTTACCTTAAAAGGTAATTTTTTTAATTCGGGAGGGGATGTCACCCTCCCTCCTGATTGATAGATGACGTACCCCTCTGTACATGCACAGGGGGGTCCCTCTGCACACAAAGGCCAGCCATGTGGCCAGGGTATATTTTCCATTTTTATATTTTTTTTCCCTACCCCGACCGCGACGTTTCCCTGGTGTCAGGCCCAGACGGGGCCTTTCACCTTACAGTCTCCACGAGGCGCCTAAAACTCCTGGAATTAAATGAAAGAAAAGAAATAAATCCCACCACCCTCTGTTTTCCACTAAATTCAATTTGCTTATAATAAAACCGGATTATTTATTTCTCATACATGCCAATCACTTCTGAGGCAGTTTGAACCCCTTCATTGGCTGCTAGAATCTCCTTCTCTGTTGGGGTGTAGTTGTGAAACCAGGTAAAACCTGGAAAGCGAATATAGTATAGCAATACAAGAATTA